AGTTAGCCACTCGTCTAACCTTTTTTAAGGTATTCAGGTACCTTGCGATGGGTTCAAACATGTTCCTTTAGCTCAGAGAAGTTTGTTATTACTGACCTTCTGAAGTCTACTTCTGTCAACTCATCAAAGTCATCCTCCATCCAGCTTTGTTCTGTTGCTGGCAAGGAGCTGTGATCCTTTGGAGGAGAAGAAGTACTCTGATTTTTAGAATTTTCAGCTTTTCTGCTCTGTTTTCTCCCCATCTTTGTGGTTTTATCTACCTTTGGTCTTTGATGTTGGTGAGCTACAGATGGGGTTTTGGTGTAGATGTCCTTTTTGTTGATGCTGATGCTATTCCTTTCTTAGTTTTCCTTCTAACAGTCAGGTCCCTCAGCTGCAGGTCTGGTGGAGTTTGCTGGAGGTCCACTCCAGACCTTGTTTGCCTGGATATCACCAGTGGAGGCTGCAGAACACAAACATTGCTGCCTGATCCTTCCTCTGGAAGCTTCATCCCAGAGGGGCACCTGCCTATATAAGGTGTCTGTCAGTCCTGTTGGGAGGTGTCTCCTAGTTAGGCTACACAGGGTTAGGGACCCACTTGAGGAGGCAGTCTGTCCATCCTCAGAGCTCAAACGCTGTGTTAGGAGAACCACTGCTCTCTTCAGAGCTGTCAGACAGGGATGTTTAACTCTGCAGAAGTTGTCTGCTGCCTTTCGTTCAGCTAAGCCCTGCCCATAGAGGTGGAGTCTAGAGGCAGTAGGCCTTGCTGAGCTGCGGTGGGCTTTGCCCAGTTCAAGCTTACTGGTTGCTTTGTTTACCTACTCAAGCCTCAGCAATGGCAGATGCCCCTTCCCCAGTCAGGCTGCTGCCTCGCAGTTCCATCTCAGGCTGCTGTGTTAGCAGTGAGCAAGGCTCCGTGGGCCATGGGACCCACCGAGCCAGGCATGGGAGAGAATCTCCTTGTCTGCCGGTTGTAAGACCATTGCAAAAGCATAATATTTGGGCTAAGGTGTCCCGTTTTTACAGGTACAATCTGTCAAGGCTTCCCTTGGCTAGGAAAGGGAAATCTCTCAACCTCTCGTGCTTCCCGGGTGAGGCGATGCCCTGCCCTGCTTCATCTCGCCCTGTGTGGGCTGCAACCACTGTCCAACCAGTCTCAGTGAGATGAACCAGGTACTTCAGTTGGAAATGCAGAAATCACCCATCTTCTGCATCGATCATGCTGGGTGCTGCAGACTGGAGCTGTTCCTATTCGGCCATCTTCAGGATTGTGTTCTTGATTTGGCACTCAGCTTGGATGTTGGTCCACTTCCCCACTTTCAACCGTACTATATCCTTCTTACCATGGACTCTGTGACTACTCAAAGAAACTTGCTTGCTGTCTTGTGTTTGCTCTGACTTCTACTTGGATAAGGACCATTGCCACATTCTTTATGTTGGCATTATTTTCAGATGTCTGCTACTGTTTCTTCCTTTCTGTTCTAATTATTCATTTAGCCTTAACATTTCTGTCCCATCAATTATTTGGCTTGCCATCCCCCATGAAAGTACACTTAAGAATCAAAGGAAAAGTATTGACATTCATTACTGCTTGCCCAAATTATTGGCAGTAAGTGGATAATTAATCCCAAGGCAACTAAGGTAAAAATCTACATGGAAGCTTTGTAGTGTGAAATATCTCAAAAGCAAAGCCACAGGCTCTCTCTCCACACCAAAAGTGCACTTTACCTGAAAAGTGTTTCCCTCAGGATCCAGAACCTCACAGATAACCTCTGAAGTATGTCTCATGATGTACCTGCCAGCTCTCGGCTGTTCACGCTTTTGAAAAGGGTAGTATATGTTACTGCTTGATTCATGGCAGTACATAGCTGAACAATCCTTGTCAATATAAAGAGAGCCTGTGTTTGGAGGTAACACCTGAAAGGGTAACGGAAGGACACAAATTATTAAAATTTTCTAGTTTAATATGTGGGACTTGGAAAACCACTTTAGGAAAAAGAATATCCATAGATCCTAGTCACAAACTGTTTGCAGGAAGAAAACATTATCCAAGGGAGGACATAAGGTTTGGGAAGGGCTGCTTGATAAGGAGGCAAACTGAATAGTTATGATATCATTTCTCCTGTATCCTCACATCTTATCTGCTCACTTTAATATCTCTTCTAAGTAATTGTCCTATGCCCCTTTATTTCCAATATTTAATATATTTTAGCTGAGGTTAAATACATGTTTGGCCCTATTCATTCCATTCTAAATGTTTGGAGTTGTTTGTGATCTTGAACAAGAAGCATCTCTGAAAGGGTAAAAAAATGTGGGATAAGTGCTCTTAGAAACGCATCTCTCCTCTCTCCTCTGGTGGCTGACACAGTCCTTAAGTAATAGACTTCATGTAATGAATTCTGCTTCAAACAGATCTTTTTCTGAAACAGAATTTACATATCATAGATTTACCCTTTTAAAGTGTATAATTCAGTGGTTTTTAGTATATTCAAAAGTGTGTGAAGCCATTATCACTAATTCCACAACACTTTTATCATCCCCCAAAGAAACCCTGATCGTGTTAGAAATCATTCTGGATCACTAGGCCTTAGGCCCTGGCAACCACTAATCTTCTGTCTATGGATGAACCTATTCTAGATACTTCATTTAAATGGAAGCATGTACTCTGTGGCCTTTTGTGTCTGGCTTCTTTCAGTTAGCGTAATGTTTTCAAGGTTCACTCATGTTGTAGCACACAGTACTTTATTCCATTTTATGGATAAGTAATATTCCATTGTATGGCTATATCACATTTTCTTTATTCACTTACGAGTTGGCATGCATTTGGGTTGTTTTCAGTTTTGCTATTACTAAAAACGTTGCTGTAAATATTGTTTACAAGTTTTTGTGCAGATGTATGTTTTCTCTTGGATAGGAGTGGAATTGCTGGGTCACATGACAACTAAGTTTACCTTTTGAGGAAGTGTCAAGCTGTTTTCCAAAGTGACTATACCATTTTCCAAGTGACTTACCACTTTCCAAAGTGACTTACACCATCAGCAATTTACAAGGGTTCCAATTTCTTCATACCCTTGCTATCACTTGCCATTATCTGTCTTTTTGATTACAGTTTTCTAGTGGGTGTGAAGTGCAATCTCATTGCAGTTTGCGCCGTAGCTCCCTCACAACTAGTGACGTTGAGCACCTTTCCTTGGCTTATTTGCCATTTGTGTATCTTCTTTGGGGAAATTCAAATCCTTTGCTCATTTTGAGGTTGGTTATTGTCTTTTTATTGTTGAGTTGTGAGAGTTCTAAGTTGTAGGGTACTCTGTACCCAAGACCATTATCAGTTATATGATTTTCAAATAACATCTTCTATTCTGTAGTTTATCTTTTCACGTTCTTGGTGGTGTTCTTTGAATCACAAACTTTTTTTTTTTATTTTGGTAACGCTTGTATGTTTGGTATCATATCTAAGAAACTATTGCCTAATCAAAAACATGAAAATTTATATCTATGTTTTCTTTCATCTCTCACTTCCAGCACCTTCCTTGCCCCATAATAATCTACACTGGATAAAGAGTGGGAAGGATAACATTGTCAGAAGAGATGAGAGGGACAAACTGACTTCAGCAACTTTCACAGTAACAAATATTTATCAGTGAGATCTTTGTCCATCATCTTCTAGCTTTTAGCTCTCAGTATCTAGTGACATTGTTTGCAACGTTTTTGCTGTAGTGTCCTTTCTCCAGCAAGTGAAAAGCTGAAGGCAAGTCCTTTTAAGGCTAAAGGAAGTGCAGGCTGACACTGGATGGTTGTGTTTAAAGGGGAAATGCAGAAAGGTAGGGAAAGGTGCTAACTGCTCCTCCTTGACCTTCCAAGGACAGAGCTTTGCTTCAGTTAGGAGAACTGCCCTCCCGGGACCACACACACCATGTGCTCCTCCTGTCCTGCTAGGACTTCGAGTAGAGTAGGGAGGACTGACTGGAGGTGGGAAAGATGGAGAGTGAGAATGAGGGTCGAGGTGGCGGGAGGTGAAGCAGGTCTGTTAGGCACAAGCCAAATCATCTAAGGGTTTCTAACACGCACAGTGCCTAGCACATAAGAAATCCTCAACAAACACATTTTGGTTTATAACCTTGGTCCAAAACTACCAAAGTTTTGCAAAACAAGCAGGGCAATGTTTTTCTGGCATGGGATGTAAAAAGGGATGAATAAATGAGTTTGAGAAGTATATTCTAAGATGTTAGTATTCTAAGAGAAAAGAAAGCAACAGCAATGTACATTGCAGGCATTTTAGAAGTGGGTTTTCTCAGCTAAATAGACACTCATCTTTGGTACTTCTCATTTTCCTTCTAGACCTACCTGGTATGTTCCCTGTGGCTTTGCAATTATAGTTGTTCCATCTCCAAAGGTGGCACAGCAGCTACTATCCTCACAGTTGGTGATAACAGTGGCATAGCGTGAGCTTTCTACCCGCATACACTTCACCTGCCTGGTGACAGTCAGAGGACCTTCGGCTACAAGCAAATGCAAGGTAAGCAGATCTGATAGGATGTAGACATTGCAAAACAGACCTCAGCCTATTGATTCTGCTGCTGTTTCCTGGCTGTCTGGATTCCCCATGGGAAAAACACAATTGTAAAGTCTAGAGCAAGTACTGAGAACTCCGCAGGATTGGAGTGAGGCCTGCTGTTCTTGTCAATTCAGAATAATTCCTCTGGAAAAAATCTTCTTACTTAATTTAGTATGCTGTCTTAATCTCACTATTTATTTGTAGGAGCTGAGAACATCTGATTTTTCAACTTGAAAAATTGAAAAGCATAAAATATAATTTAAGCACTCAGATATTCATCAATTAAAATTTATACTTTTTAATACATATGTAAAAGAAAAATCACAGATAAAATTGAAGTTTATCCTTATATCTGGGCTTATTTCTCTCTTGAAATTCATTTTTACACTTTTATGTACACATATATCACGAACAATACATATGTGTGTGCTTTAAATGTATATAAGCTATGTGTTACTCCATGTATTTATGTAATTACTGTACTATCATTCTACTCCTGCTTTTTTCATTTAACACAGTTTCAAGACCCCTAACCATCTTAATCTATATCTATCTATCCATATATGTGTGCATAGATATATTTATTTGTGTGTGTATGACTCCCTTTAACAATCTTATAGTATTATTTTGTAGGAATGTACCACATTTTATTTTTCTATTCTGCCATTGATGGACATTTACATTTTCCCAATATTTCAATATTATACTCAATGCTGCAAGTCGCTCCTCTATACTTGTTTCCTTATGCAAATGTGTATGAGTGTCCCTCTCTCTATAAGCAGAAATAAAGTTATTGCATCATAATATGATATGTGGGTGGGGTGGGGAGATGTAGGTCAAAGCATATAAAGTTACAATTATGTAAGATGAATAAGTATAAGAATGTAATGTATAGCATAAAAACTATAGTCAATAACATTGTATTGTATAATGACAATTTTCCAAGAGTGTAGATTTTAGGTGCTCATAACACACACACACACACACACACACACAAGAAAACAGCTATATAAGGTAAGAGATATATTAATTTGCTTGACTTATTCCACTATGTATATAGATATCAAAATATCATGTTGTGCATCTTAAATATATCCAATAAAAAACACTGGCATTAAGGAAAGGGAACTCAGGGAATAACTTCTCATTAAAAATATTTCTTAAATTCAGGTTCGGAAGAGTGGAAGACTTTGAGTCTTAGAGTAGGTTCCTGTTAATTAGCAACTACAGTTTCCTTTTTTCTGATACCACCTTTCTGACAAAAGACATGCTCTGACTGAAAACCTATCTAAGGTCACCTATTTATGCAAATTAGATGCCTTGAGGATCAAAGGAAACATCTAAAGCTAGCACCTAGGACAGATGAATCATGGTTATTAGGTTTTAGTTGCCACCAATCAAAGACTATTACTCTCCATCAGCTAACTAGAGCTGTTATCACTCCCATCTCTGTTGAGATAATGATCACAATAAAAAGTCCTAATGCATCCTCATATTCATTGCAGTATTATTCACAATAACCAAGATTTGGAATCAGTCCACATGTTCATCAATGGGTGAATAA